TGCAAACGAGGATCATCCTTCGCTGCCAATGTCTTCCAGTCAAAACAGAAAAAAGGATGTGAGGGCCCCCTTTATACCCTACACCCAAGGTGACTGAAGTAGGGGTGAAAGTGATTAAAGGATAAATTCCATGCCTAAAGCTCTGTCTTGATCACTGTATTTCTTAAAAACTGCAAAGCTTAGCAGTATAAGGCTATTAGCAAGTATGACCTAAAGATCTACTTCTCCGCTCCCTTGAGCAGGGCCTCTTCAGCCCTGTGCAGTCCAGAGGTGTCCAGGTGACCACATCTCCATTGCCAGTGGGTGTTGGGCCAGGTCACCTTCAGAGGTTCCTTCCAACAGACTTTTTCTATGGTTGCCTTCAGGAGCTCGGCTACCTTTAACAGCTACATCTAATGGCACCGGATTACAGAAAGTTCTTGAGATGGACTGCCTGTTATCCAGGAAGGCCAGGCATTCATCTGACCCCAGCACAGCCTTTAAAGTGTAAGAGGACTAAAGAGAACAGTAAAACAACAAGAAAATAAATGACTGCACAAGACAACAAATGGAAACAAAATCATTGCAAGAAGATACCAGACAGGACATCTCTGGCTGTGCCCATTACCTCCTGAGGGAGACTGGCCACTGGGTGAATCCAGATTTGGAGTGGTTTAAGAAAACCAACATGGCATTGGAAAACCCACCCAGGAGTATTGTAGCAGCTGCTGATCACCAAGCCCTGGAAGCTGACAGCCCTTGGTGTAGTCTCCAGCAGGAGGAACTGTGCTCGTAGGAAGAGAGCATGATCTGGATTTACGTTCTCTGTTTCCCTCAAGCTCTTCACTGCCTGAGTAGGTGCAAAGGTGTACAGATGTATTTATTATTCCTAAACAGGCCATACAAAGAGTTTATAATTTTTACTAATTTACCTGAAGATTATTTTATTCCAGGGCATGGAAGGCTTCACGCCCCCTGCTCCAAAATCTAGCACAGTTAGCAAGCAGGAGCAAGACAGATCACTGAAAGGCAATCACACTTCTTTTCATGGTAAAAATTACCAGATAGTCAAATGATTCATACACTCAAGTAATACCAAAATATACACATGCAAAATTTCAGTAATAGAACACAAACATGTCATCATGAATCCATTCTCAGTGCAAGTGAATGCCAAGATAATTCCCGAATATACTGAAATGAGCACCTTAAGAGCTGAAATAGACTCTCCTGTTTAATTAATTGCTACCTTTGTTTGATGAGGAGTCTGGAAATTTGCAGATAGAAATATTTATACAAGAAATGCCATGGGCTTCATTGTTGGTGCCCACCTCCCTACCCACCATACCCACCTGGATTATAATCACCACCTTCAGACAATCCGTTACACACACACAAATTTCATTCATTCAAGCACATTGATTAGGAGATATTTTTGTTTTCTAGTCTCCTTTTTCCCCCAGAGATTTAATTCAGTAGCTATTACAGACATGGCATTTTATTCTGAAAAGGATTATATTTGTATATATTCTTTGAGCTAAGTGTTTAGTTTAATATGCTTGTTGTAAATAAATTCTATTACCCCTTCTCGTAAAAGGCTACAAGTTCCTGCCTTGAGAAACTGTTTGATCCATGTTAAGTGAAATTGTTTCCAGATAAATATTTCCATTTGGTATTTGTCTCTTAATTCACTTAAATACCTTTGAAAGAGTCAGGGTCCCAAAGACTGTATGGAACAGTTGCAGGGAAGGACATTTAAAGGGAAGAAAACAGTGAAGAATTACAAAAGCAGTTGGGAAGCAGAAATATTGTCATCTCAAAAATGAGTTCTTCCCTGCATACATAAAAGACAGCTGACTGAAGCCTCAGGTAGTTGGGAATTACAAGCTGCTTCTCTCTTCAGCACTGCAGAAAATTCAGCCATCTGAATTATTTCCTACAAGTATTTAATATTTACTCCCCTCCAAAGAAAAGACATGAAAGCCCTTAAATTTTATCTGCTCCAGCACAGCCACACAGGCTCTGCTGCTCCAGTGCCAGCTTTGACACCCGCAGAGAGCACAGCAGAGCAGCGCATCTGGATTTTGAACTAAAACACAGCACTTTGTGTTCTCCACACAGCTCAGACCTCTTCCACTCTTTTCCGCCCCTCTCTCACTTGGACAGGAAACACAGCAACAGGCTCCAAGGACACAACGCCCCAGCAACAGCTTCCTCATCAGCTTCCCACTGTAAATAATCCTGTGTTCTGTACTTGCTATTCATATTGTCAGAGGTATTTACATGAAACTATTGTTGCTCCACTGACGATCAGTCTGACAGAAGGGTTGATTCGCTGTCAGCTGGCAAAAAATGCAGCCATGTTCCTGCCTAGGAATAAATGCTAGAGTTGCCTGGAACTTGTTAAAAGGACCAGATTGCTGTGGAGGCTAGTCAGCAAAAGGTTCCTCATACAAGGTACAGGCACAGCCTTTATAATTTCCAAGTGATCCTCCAGGGAAGTGCAGTGAGGATTGATAGCTAAGGCCATGTCCCACAAGTACAGAGCAGCACCACAAATAACTTGATTGTGCGTTTACAGTAATTTTATTTACAAGTTACCATGTGACACCTGTAGTACTACAGTTTTTATAACACCATTAGCAGTAAAATAAGTCACATCTAAGAAGAGTAGGAGGCAGCAGAGAAAAATGTGCACAGAGAATGCAGAAAGGCTATTTAGCTATAACTGAAAGTAGGTTATTTCTCTACAGACTTAGAAAGCGAGAAGGAATAGATGTTGAGAAGAACAAGCTCTTCAGCCCTCTTATTTCTACAGCATGAAATTTTTTGTACAGTGACGATTTAGTACAGTGAGTACTACACTAGCAGTCAAATGCAAGTGATAGGGAGAAAACTGTCTTAATAACTTGCCCTTTTGAACACCCAGAAATGAAACCCAAAGCTTCCCTTTGAAGGGACTTACCAGGGCTGGTTTATTTGCAGAGCCAGTAGTGCAGAATTGCTACTGGGGGGCAGGAGGGAACATAACTTATGACTAGAGAGTTCCCAAGCATTGCATATTGCCTGTGAGGTCTTACATGGTCTTAAGTAGTTGGTGAGCAAAGCCAGTTGCAGCATTCCACAAGTCCTTTTACAGTGCCGTGCTCTAAAGCTGAGTACAGTTTAGCAGAATCCCAAAACCAAGCAGAGAAAAAAGCCCTTCTGCTCTCTTATCATCCCTTGGCTCTAATGATGCTGGTGTTGAGCCTGGGCCTTTCTCAAGAGGAACAATGTGGAGGAGCAAATGTGGAGAAACACTCTAGACTTAGATTATTCTGATGACAAGACTCAGAAGAAAATAAGCTTAATGCAGCACCAGCTGCAACCCTTTTCTGCTTCAAAGTATACCACCAGCTTCCAGAAAGCAAACAAGTGTTATTCAGGACTTGGTTTTCCCCCCAGACATCTTTAATAGCCTGGAGCGACTGTCAGTGCACACAATCCATGCTAGTGGCTGCAAAGACAATGAAAATACAAGCTGCACAGTAATAATTATTTCCACTACTAACTACACACAGGATATATTGCTTTTGGTACAATGCCATTTATTGTCACAAGAAGAAAACCAGTGATTAAGTTGAGCACATGAATTATGCAGACCTTTGCCATGCTGGAACAACAGCATATTTTACTTACAGAAATGTCACCAAGTCAGCTGTAAAAACAGCTTAACACAGTTCTTCCAAAATACCAAGCATATCCTCAAATCCAAGTTTATATTAAGTTTAGCTACAACAGAATGATTAAGAAATGGTTTTGTTTTCAATCCCCACTTTTGTCTGGAGTGCTGCGCTTATACTGCACAAAGGCAAACAGAATCAAAACACAGAGCTACAGTGACAGCACAACACCCACTGAAATATTTCTGAGTGGGAAAACTGGCCTGCAAGTTTGTGTCCCCTCCACACCTGTGCAAACCTACTCAGAAAGCCTGCAAAAGTATGTATGTGTACAAAAACTAACCAAAAGTTTTTTAAAAACACAGAATGCATTAAAAAAGTCTAAAGTTTGAACTCTTCAGTCTGTGGTGCCTCAACTGTAAATTAGAATTTCTGTGAGTTTTAACACTTCCAGGAAGAAAAAAAGGATTTTTTAGTCCAAATTTCCTTTTTAATACTAGTATCAAAATTAAAGATGACTTAGGAGAAAGGCTTGACTAAAAAACGTTCCAGCTCTCTTGCGGTATCATCAGTTCAGTGAGTCACAAGCCAAAATTCTAAATATTCAGCATTTTTACATTTGCAGTTTTAAGGCAGAAAAAGATGTTCACAGCAAGCCATTTAGTCTTGGATGTTACAAAATATCACGAACAACAAACCAACAAAAACAAATAAACAAACAACCCCCTAAAAGGTGCATCTCAAGTCTCTTAGTAATAGCAAATTTTAAAAAATTCTGCAGAGTCTCTTACAGCTTTGGGTTTGTTGGAGTTTTTTTGCTAAAAAGCCTGAATTTTCAGACACAGATCACACATCACAGATAGAGATTAACACCTTCCAGTATTTCTAAGCTGTGTGTTCAAGGTCAGAATTAAAATCACAAGGTGGAATAAGGGATCCCTGCACTGCTGGTGCCATCCCAGGGCTGGAGCTGCTGTGCGCTATCTGGGTTTTATCCCAGGGCTCCGGGGTCAGCTGTCTGTACCCAGGCCCAGCTCTGCGAAGCACAGCTGTGTCCTTGGCTCAGCTCTACAGGCAAAAAATGAAAGAAGCAAATAAAAGCAGAGCTGTGAGACTGCAGGAATCTACAAACATGCAAGGTAAGGAAAAGTAAGAAGCAAAGGAATGAAGTCACCAGGCCAGAGCAGACAAGGGACTTTAGAGAAAGATCCCAACATGGAAAGTGTAAACCCCTGAGGAAGAGCAGTCGCTGGAAGAGGAACTCAGATCAAAGGTCAGGCCAGTGCAAACAGCAAGGCAAGGAGACGGGGCAGGCAGCAGCCAACAGCTGAGTGCACACAAACTCACAGACTGGCAAGAGAAATCAAGTATTTTTATTACTGTCTTTTTAGGTGAGAAAACACTGCAAACCCAAGACCCTGGTAAGGTATTTCTTGCTTGTTTCAGGGAAATTGGCAAAGGAAGACTTCAAGTCTCCTTTCTTCAGCCTTCAGGTACAAACATAAGCTGCCTCTGTACTAAGCTAGAAGGATCACACATTTCTCTACCACACTAATTAATTAGCTGGAAAGAGAAGGAACTTCAGGAAAAATGGGCTCTGTGTATGTGCATGAAAACGAGAGGCAGCTTTAGAGAAGTTGCAGGAAGGTTCCAGTATTCACAAGGTACATCAGTTTAACAGGATCAATAATCTACTGTTTACCATCAGAAAGCTGACAAATCCCATAAAGATTTTTTTTTGTAACAACTGGAACTTGTTTAGACTTCAGTTTAAACAGAGAGAAGTAAATTGCCAATAGCAAGACATACTGAAAAAAAAAGGCAGAGTTTTAGAAAACACATGAAGGAAAGTCACCCGTGTAATTTACAAATTACAGGGAAAAGACAGAGGGGTTACAGAACAGTTCTCACATCCAAGTCCCAAGATGAGGCTTCACAGAAACAGCTCCTGAGTGGGACCGCCTTTCTGATGGGGATGTGAACACCTCTGACACCAGGGTGGTGTTCAGCAGACACACCGAAGTTGCCTTTGGAAGCAGACTTGAAGCTCTAGAACTCCTCCTGAAGCTACCTGGACTCGTGTGGTGAGAAGACACATCAGAGCAAGGTAACCACCAACAGACACAGCGCATGTCAATGTGACGACGTTTGTGAGTTTCCTACATACCTGCAATGTTTTTTTGGGTTTTTTTAAGCTTTTCAGTGTTACATATATGCTATTTAGTAGAAAGGATAACTGAAGATGAAACATGCGCAACACAAAATTATCTTTGGTCTGCAAAGTCCTGGGTCAGAGTTCTACACAGCTTGATACCATCAGACCTACATTAATCTCTTCCAAAAAACATGGCTTGTATTCAAAAGCAGCTCTGTGCCAGCCTTCCTGAGTGAAGTGCAGCATCTGCTCAGCACCCGGGGGTGCTCACTGGAACCTCCACCCTGACCCGTGTGCATAACAGCTCAGGAGTGCCCACTACACCTGAAGCTTACAGATGGAGAACTTACAGCCAGTTCTGGGGAATATTTCAAACTAATCCCACTGAAACAAGGATCACAGCAACCTTGAATCAATCAGTTGCTTGTCAAAACCTTCCTGGAGCCAAGCAGCTGTACAGTTGTACCTTGAGGTCCCACCCTGAAGCGCATGCTACGATGAACACACCTTCTGCCAGAGGAACAGCCACAGCCAACAAAATGTAAGAACACATAGAAAACATGGTGAAAATGAAATTCTGTATTATTCTTGTGGGGGGAAGAAATCTGTATCCTGCAGTGAAAGCCAAGGAGGGGAATGCGAGATGAATTTTTACAAGCCAGTTCTCAGAGCTGTTACAGACCTCTCAATTATGGTTAAGCTTTCTTTAGTTTCAGGTCACATTTTTTGCCTTTTCATATTAATTAGAGAAGTTTTTAGCTGCCATTATCCAGCTACACCTTTTAAGAGTTCAGTTCTTTGAAGAAGAATTAAAAGTCCATGACAGTGATATGAACTTGCACTGCTCCCAGAAATCTCCCAGTTCCAACCCCTGGTTGGAGAAGAACCTTTTTATATTGAAATGAAAACATTTGGTTTCTAAGGATCATGCAAGTAATTTTCAAGATTTCATGGGAACCGTGCAATACGAATATCCATTAAAGAGTGTCAAAAAAGCCCATGAACCAACAGATACACTGAAATTGATTTGCATCACTCAGCAGGTCAAGACTTCATCATTTTCTCACACCGAAGATAAAACATTTCTGCCTGTCTGTAAAGAAAGCTCATCTGTGGTTTTGTTTGGTTTTTTTTTATGGCTTCCCTAATTTAATTGCAAGCTGGTACAGTTACACAGGGGCACACACACCTTGAGCAGTTACAGCTCTTGCCTGCAGGCTGCTCCCTGTGCACTTCCAAGGAGGGGCAGTTTTGGATCAGCCAATGGACCAGCTCAGGGCAAAGCAAAGTCCCAGTTGTTCTAGACATGCACGGAACTATGCTGGTTTGGTAATACAGGGACACAATTTAATGATTTTCTTTGCATTTGTTTTTACAAGATTCAGATGTCAAAAACAAAACAGAACATTAAGTTACCTGATTTAAAAAAGGAAATCACAAACGTTTACAACATCAAAAGAATAAGACGAAATATAAACCTTTGCTACTTACAATTGATCTATACAGATTAACCAAATCACAAATCTGTCACAATATAAATGTTTAATTGTTACAATGAATAAGAACATACAGAAAATGATTTATTTATTTTTTATAAAATCTTCCTTTGCTTTTTTATTTTAAACTTACCATTAACTAAATTAGCTATGCAGGACTTGTGGGGTACATGACTAAGAAGGCACCAACAGTACAAAGCAAAGACAAAGCAGTTTGAGTATTTTAAGAGTGCTCTACACTGATACAACACAAGAAAAGGCAACAATAGTAAGTAAACCAGCTGCAACCTTTAGAAATTTGTTCTAGATTTACACATGTAGTCCAACTTTTACATTTCCGCCGATGTGTTACTTGGTTTGATCACAGCACATGCTACAAAAACCACTGTAAGCTTCACTTTACTAATGTGCACTTTTCACTAATTTAGTGTCTTGATTTCAATTGTTAACTAACCATTTTGAACCACAAATGTATTTAAAACTTAGTAAAAGGATTGTTTGGACTTTTTCGTTTAAACCACTGCATTTACAAAAATATTTCCCCTAAAATCTGGGATTGCTTGAAGACATTGCTGTACAAATATAAAAGTACTATGCAAGGGACCAAATTCATAAGTATATGGTGTGTATGTATAGACCTATATTTATACCATATCACTGTGCTGTAACAACACAATAAATTTATCAGTAACCAAGGACTATATAAACTACACTAACATAAGCAAATATATATTAATAAAGTTTAAATCTATAGTACAGTTGCTCAGCAAACAACTTCGACATGGTATAAATATATCATAGCATATTACAGTGGGCAGCAACAACAGGTTTTTCTTTCTCTCATTCTGCAAGGAAAGCCCTGCTCAGCTCCTCAGGTTTTGTTTGGCCACTGCCGAGTTCTGTCCCCACTGCCACTCCCGGAAGCTCCCGGCGCAGGCGGCCCAGCTCTGGTGTCACCGGGGTGAGGAAGAGTCTGGCCACAGGCAGGACAGCAGAGTCAGACGCTTGTTTGCCAAAGCATCCATGAGAATTTTGTGTTTGCATATTTTTCTTTAGTAAGGTTGGAATGTTTTTGACAGTGAACTGTTTACATTCCTTATTCCCAAAGCATCTTTACCATGAAATATGCATGCTACTTTTAAGAGTTGCTGTTCTCTGCTCTAAAATATAAAAACTGCATAAAGAACCCAATGTAAAATTATGAAATAACTGACCTAACACAGTGTTGTTAGAGGCACCTTCTTTCAACTATTTTCAAAATCTGATCAAAATCTGTTTTTCAAAAAAAATAAAAAAATAAAAAAAAATAATCATGCTTCAGCATTTGACGCATCAACAAATTCAACCCAACAATGTTTACTGAATTCAGTAAAAGATTGATTAATGTGGTTATTATGGATGCCAATTGGATTCAGCAAAAGTAGCTAAGGAAGAAAGCCCAAAAGCACCAGACATTAGGTAAAGCAAACCCTCGGCTTCTCACTCACAGAGACAGGATGCAGGGGTATGTCTACACCTCCCCAAACATCCCAAATTAAAGAAATTATTAAAAGAAAATAATTGGGAAAGAGAAGGGTGAAGTAAGCTGCCAAAGTTCTTCCTTAATAAATTAAAACTGAGGTGTTACAAACTAATTTCAGTAACAGTCATCTTTCCAATCATGCCAAAAATGATTCCTGTTGTAATGATGATCATGCAAGTAGCAGAGATTCTAGAAATATTTCAACTTTTCAAAACTGAGTGAGAAAAGCATTTTGGTAAAGATGTGTAGAAAGGTCAAGAGAAATTTCTACACTGGTATCAACAGTCAAGTGCATATTTCTTCTATAGAAATGTTTTTAGCATAGGTTCCATAAAACGATTCCATGATCACTTGTGCAGTGTCCTGACAATGCTCCAAATTTGTTCCCCACAACAGAGATTTATGTACCACAGGAACTTCCTAATAGAAAATGCCCTTTAATGATGAACCCTTGCTTATTAAAAATTAATTTTGGCAGACTAACACTTAAACTATAGGAAAAAGAAAATTTTGAAATGGAATCTTGTAAGCACCCTTATCTACTGGAGTCTAAGTTAATGGCTTTCTAGATTTCTCTGAAGAGCAGACTAAGTGGTATGAGGAAGCCTGGAGTTATTAACCAGCCAGCATCCTTATGTACTACAGTAGCAATTGAACCTGATTTCCATTCATAGACATTACCCAAGAGGAAACCAAAAACTAATTCTTAATGTTAATGTGAAGATATAAGATTTAAATTTATTTCCAGGAATTACAAGTGCATTTTGTTCATATTAGCAAGCAGTCTTTATACAATCCATTCTTCACTGCTGCCAAAATAAAATGAGAAAAAGACAGCAGAGATATGAAAAGCTAAAAATAGAACTATTTTTCCTAAGTTATTTGTTGAATAGCATTTCAGTTGAACACAACTCAGAGGTAACAATAGATTAATTTTTTTTTCTCAATCATAGGCATGTGGCACTTAGACAATCATCTTTGCACAGAAAGCTTTAACAGTCATGCGAGGGCACAGTAATTATTTTAAACAAGGCATATTTCTCACCACAGAGAGCAGTGGGGAAAGAAAAGGAGGCACTGCACTGGAACATAACACCTAGTAAACTCCACATTATACAATTTCAGTAACAAATACTTGAAAAGATCATTAAAAGGTATACAATTTTAAACGTTATTTAGTGCTAGCTTTGTTTGGTTGTCATAACTCAGCATTATCAGAAAAGTTTGATAGTACTTGACAACAGAACAGTACTTCATGTCACGAGCTCATGGAGGCTTGATTACAAATCACCATAGTGTAGGTTGCAAGAAATGAACTTGAGATGCTGACATGCTGTAGGAGCAAAAGTGAAATCAAACTTTCTCATTTGAAGATGCAGTGTTCCTCTCTGCAAGAATCTGAATGTCAGTGATTAGATTCAAATGTCAAAACTATCAATCCTCATTTGAAGCATTTCATTGGTATGCAGGATGCAGACTGAGTTAATTAACATCATATTTTGGTTTCTTGCTTGCCACCAGGTACGGCTGCCTTGCCCAGGAAAAGCACTGGCCATGGGGTCATGGTGCCATCGTGGTCTGTGTTAACCCTTCCAGCACTCAGGGAGCAAACAGCAGCTGCAGCTGCCACCTTGCCTTTGCACAGGCCGTACAGACACTACTGCATGGTAGGAACTTTGGGAGTACTATGCCTCCAACGTGGGTAAACTTTAAATGATCTCTCTTAGAAAAAGCAGGGAGAAAAAAAGTACAAATTTTGTCAATACATGGAAAAATGTTTCTTAGATGAGTTCAGTTAAGTTGGGCTCCTATGTGGCTCTTACACTGGATAGAATACCTGTATGTACAGCACAGGACACCCAAACAAGTGCATAAGCAAGATTAACATGAACACAACTTATGCTGCAATCCATAGCATAATGGTACACTCTGCTGGATGCTAACCAACCATTTCTATTTAAAAAGGACGTGCAAAAAAAATCTGGGATGTCACTGACTTAAAGTGCCCTGAATAGTAGCTTTTCTAAAAAAAAAAATGCCAGCGACTTCAGTAAAGTCAGAAAAAACATAGTTCATGGTGTAAACGTCTTACAAGTTAATGAACTCTCTTCTTGGATATTGATCCAGGAGTGAAAGGAACCACTGCATCTTTCAAACCAGAAAGCAAGCAGTTAAAACACGGGCAGCAGTAGGTGCACGTACAGTACAGTACTGCAACAGGTCAACAATGGGCATTACGCATAGGAGTGTCAATTACAATTCTTCAGGCTTAAAAGATTCATCGAAAGCATGAAAAGCCAAAACTACCAGGAACCGCCCTCCTGAATGGCTCAAAGGAGTTAGTGGATAAGCTGAGAGAGGCCACAAGACATGACCAACAATAAAGAACTGGGAAGAGGAACAGCAACGTTTGAGCACGCCCAGTCCTTTAAGTCCTTGTCCTACAAAAGAGAGCAGAGATATATTTCAGTGAAGGAAGTTTAACACCACCTTTTAAAACAAGCCCTTTCCTATTTCTGTGCACACCGTGTTTACCATGAGCCACAGCCAGCAGGATCTACAGATGTTAAAAAAGAATCTGGAGAAATTTTAGACTAGTAATTCTTAAATTAAAATTAAATATTAATTGAAATTAAAATATAAAGTATTAGGAAGATTAAACATAACTAGTCAATGAAGTACATTGTTTGTCTGAACCCAAAAATCTGTTATTTTCATGTTGCTTCTCAATTCCAAAACCCACAGCGCAGGGGACACTTTGAATCTGGAGAAACAGCCCAGTGAGAAAAGCTGGCTGGTAAAGCACAGGGGGGAGCACGCAGGGGAACAGGAATGCACAGCAGGACACGTTACTGTGCATTTGAAGCCAGCTCCTGGGGACTGGCCCTCACTAGGATGTCAAGCAGCTATGTTTAAACTGCTGTGCTGTGGCATAGCTGGCAATCCTAACCACAAATGACTTGGACAAATTGCCAGCATATCCTTGTCAAGCTAAGTACAATATTTCAATTTCAATATTGTGCTGGCCAAATCAACTCTGCATAGTAGCATTTTTATCAAACCAGAAATTTCTGCTAGCAATGGATCACTGATATCTTTATCCCTAATCTTTTTATCCCTTAATCCCTAACACAACCTAGGTAAGTATGGCCTGGGCAAAGAGGGAAGCAAGAGATCACGAACTATGATTTACCATAGCAGTAACCACTTGCTGCCCTTGTGATTACAGCCTGTTAGGATCAGGCTTCATCTTGCTCCTAAAAATTTATGTAACTTTCTTCCACCATGTGTACGGGCACAGCTGTGCTCTCACACAGAAAACATGGGATGTGTAGGACATTAACACCAGCCAGTTACTGTGTCCCAGGTCTGATCTACTAACAATGCAAACTTATAGAACCAGTGTGTGAACCTCAGATTTCCCTACCTTTTAATTACTACAACAGTTCCAATATCACCTAGCAAGTTTAAATAAACAAAATGCAGTATTTGAAAAAATTGGAATTTGTTAATTTGTGAGGTTCTATACACCTAAATATTCAAGCCAGTGGCAACAGCAGTTATCCTATTAAAGTAAAAACTGTATTTTTACATTTCCCCCACTTTTTTTTTCTTTTTCTTTCCTATTAATTCATAATTAAATGAAAACCTGGGGGTATATCCAATGCAGAAAATGAAATCACATTTTTTTAGTGCAGAAAAATTATTGTTTATAGGAAAGCCACAAAGCTCTTGCATACTGCCAGCAGAGTCGTTGATTTCTGGCAGCAAGGAAGTGCCCTGGGTCAAAATTTCACCTTCCCGCTGGAACTGCCCACACAAAGCAGTGACTGCAGAATGCTGCTCTGAGGGACGAGAGCAGACAGCACAAACCAGGCAGCCCAGGGCAGCCTGTTGCCTTTGGCTTGTTTTACCTTTCCACTCATAAAACTTTGATATTTTCCCCTATTAGTATCACAGAAGTTTCACAGGTATTCCAATCAAATCAGTGTTTGACCAATTTGGTATGAAACTCCTGAGACTTGTAAGCCTTGTGGTACAAGAAGACCGATTAAGTTAATAGATTTAAAAAAAAGGAGTCAGAGTCAGTGAATATCAGTATATTTCATTTTAAATTAAACTTTCAGACCATCAAAATGCTAGGAAGATTAGTTATAATTAATTTATGACTAGTTAAATACCTATTCTTATTTACTTACACTATTTGGGAGCTACTTAAAACTAAAGATAGGTCATACTAAAGTTTCAGGTAAAAAAAAGGGGTTTTTCCTTTGAAATAGTTTAAGAGATTTCTCCTTTGTACATTACATTTAGGAGGAGTTTTTTCTAAATGTGTTTGAAGCCATATGATAAAATTATGTATCTGTAATATATGAAGAACATTGCCCCTTAAAATGTTTTTTTCAATAAAATTTGCATTTCAAAGTGTTACCATTGCTTTTATTCTAAGCAGCACTATTATAATGCAATTCTTATTCCCTAAATGCAAACTACAAACAAGGTAAGCACCTCAGACAGGTGCCTGGGTTCCATGTGGACACTTCAATGCTGTGGGCAAACAAAAACTCCTCAGAAACAGGACAAGACTGAGGTCAAGTCCTTGGACAGGAAACTACTGGGCACTGGGAAAGGTAAGTCCTACATTTCACCAGCAGCACCCGAGTCCCAAATGTGCCCCGTGCTCGAGTGTCCCCTATTGCTGTGACTTTACCTATGCACGATTTAAGATCGGTATCCTGGCTGGAATCTTGCAGTTTCCTCAAAAATCAATTCTTTCAGCTTTTCCTTCGGCAAGTCATCCAACTCCATATCAAACTTGAAGGGTGCTTCAGCTACAGGCTTAATGATACAAAGAAATGTGATTACTTTAATGTCACTGTGCTGTTGAATTTCATGCAGTTCTTTTATGGATGGGGAAAAAAATCTGAAAATGTCTTTCACAAAAATATCCAACACTGAGCAGTCTTCAAGGCAGAACTCCCCCTATTAGTCCTATGTGAGCTTTATGTATTAGTTTACCAAATTTTACATCAACCACAGTAAGTGGCCAGTCAAATCCAAACCACAAGTTGAAATACTTATTTGAGGCTCAAATCTATGTGAAGGAAAAAAAATTATCTTAAACATTTTTATTTCTTGGAATAAACATATCTGGCCCTTAAGGAAAACTAGCTTATTTCCTCCTCCCCTATTTCTTTACAAAAAGGAGCCAGGAATCTCCTCAGAATTTTACCTGAACTACAGCCAGGCCTGATTCCGGATTTTTAATCTGATGGCAAACACAGTCATTCTCCTCCTTTACCTCAGACATTATGAAACCAGGCCTCACATGAGCTGAGAATCTCCATTTTCTGGAGAGGGAAGGCACCTTAGTATCTATTTATTGTGTGGCATCTCCTAAGTGTTGCACTAAAGTGAGAAATACACATTTTGGTAAATTGATGCAATTTGTTCTTCAACTCCATTAGTACACTAGAAACACTACCCTTAAACTAAAGTAGAAAATAATCAGCTGTATCATTTTATCAATGTTTACATTTTAACAACATCTTTACCTCATCACTTGGATCATAATACTGCTCCAGATATGGATGGGCTAAAGCTTGCTCCACTTCAATCCGCTTATGAGGATTAAAGGTCAACATTTTATCCAACAAATCAAGTGCTAAGAGGAAAGAAAGTGAGCAAGAATTTAATACACACTCCACGAAAGTGTTACAAAGCCTGACCTTACCCAGACAAACCAACTACCCAAGGTCTGTGCTAATGGCAGTGCACCCCTGGAGCTCCCCTGCTGCAGCTGGGACCTGGCACAGAGGCTGTGCCTGCCCCTCTCTCGGCATTCCTGGGCACCACCTGCTCCAGTGGAGGCGGTACCCTGCCACAGGCCCTTCAGCCCCAGAACGGATGGTAAGGCAAGAAACACACAGAATACTACGGTACAATCTGGTTTGGACTACAACAGAAATTAAATAGATGAGACTTTTTCTTCTCTCAGAAAAATGCTTTGGATTTTTGTGCCAAAACCCAAACTAAGATGGAGCTTTTCTGAAATAAGTAATTATGCATACGTTCTTATTCTGAAAAGAAAACTTGGCTGTTTACAGAAGAAAGTATCATCCAGAAGTCATTAGGAGTTCTAGATCACCGCAGTGAAATATTCTGGCACAACCAGCAGCACAGAAGATACTCTCCAGAGAAGATACAAATACATTTATATTCATGAGATTCAGGGAAAATCTGTTGAAGAGAACTCATAAAGAATCCATAAAGAACCTGAAGATCCAGTAAGACAGAGAGTGAGGTCTGGTGAAATTCTGGACAGACATCACAAATCAGTGCTACTGCAGCTGGTCAGCTACTTTGCCTGTAACACATTTCCCTTTTCCAAGAAGAGAAAAAAACTGATTATAGGAGCAAGAAGCCCTAAGATATCTGCAGTATCCTAAATCTCATCACGTTTCTTCTCCTCACCCCATCATTTATGAACCAGATGTTTAACAGAGGCTTCTTGATGTAGTGCAGCAGTTGCAGCTTTTCAGCAGGATGAGGCTCACACCTGTGACCTCAGGTCACATCGCAGCCTGGGGAGGGAGGATGCACCACCACCATCAACCCACCACTGCAGTGAGCTCCTCTGGGTCTGTGCAGCACCCAGCACTGCACAAGAGACCCAAGTGCATTTGAGGGCAGCTCCAAAAGCCTCAGAGCTGCACTGAAAGCATCACTCAGTGTTTTGCTCCCTCAGCACTGGCAGCTCCCAAGCTCACCCCCAGCCGGAGCGCGGCGGGCACAGCGCTGTTCCTGCCCTGAGTGACAGCCAGCTCCCGAAAGCTGCCCTGGCACAGCTGCTCTCGGGGTGTCACTGCCAAGGTGCCGCACCAAACGGCACATTCCCCCTCTGCTGAGGTACCAGCGTGGCTGCCAGTGAGCTGTCAAAGCCCACGGGGAGGATTCTCACACTGATGAGCACTGTTATAAAAGCAGAATAAATCACTGCTGTTTTCCTCAATGACAGGGATAATCAGCTCCATACAGTTCCATCTGCAGAAATCAGCTTTAACATGGTAATTCAGTACCTGATCATATCCACTAAGAGTAAATTATCATGTCAGTTAAAAAAGAAGTAACTTATGAATTGTGTTAGAGCACGTAAAAGAGCGCTGTACTGTGAACACAACCACCCTTAAACTGTATGAAGCTGAGTATAAAAGGTAAATTAACAGCTATCTAGCAAAACAAAATCATATTTACCCTTTAGGAAAGCCTTATTAAGAAAAGTTAACAATTATTGTATTCCTTGCTTTTATAACTTTTGCTCCACATGTCCTAGTTGAATTTTTTAACCCATTAAATTCTAAGCTCTGATGGTACCTAAGGATCCCACTCACTGACGAGACCCTGTTTGACCTACAACTGATGCAGTCTGCACAAACTCTACCCAGGGCAGCAGCAAGCAGCTGCCTCCTATCTGATGTTAGACACTGTTGATGTCAGTGCCAAAATCCAGTACTGATGTTCAGCACTTGAAAAATGTACTGTGCTTCCAAGGACAGTGACAAGAGTTTGGATTTCACATGTAAGTTAAAGACCAAACTCCACAACAGGTAATCTTAAAGTTACTAAAAATTGCATTAAAAAGATAAATTAGTGTGAGGGCTTTATGCTGATTTATGATTTTATATTAGATTAACAGTGCTATTTTAAGGCATCTGCATGTTCTATTTCCAATATAAAGACAAATTCTTAGGTTATAAAAGCTCCCATCCTGCCATTACTTTGATACAATTTAACAGAGTATAAAATACCTTTGGGGTCAGCGTTTGGAAACAGCCTGTTCCATGGTACCTTATTTTTGTGTGGTAGAGAAAGCAAGTAGTTTCTGGCCTTTAAATTTATTATACAATTCAAATCTTCTTGGGAAGGGGATCCAAGTATACCTAAAAAATACAAATACAAACAACAGTGCATTCTATGAAAAACACATTAATACAGCTGTATCATATCTGCTAGAACTCAGGATTAAAATTTCTGGGAAGGAGATTTCAGATCAAATGCTTTAAGGCTACAGAATACCTGAGGAGTTTTAGAAACTTTTACTAAAAAACATTCTTAAAAAAAATAAATGGGTCTGATTTCCTAATGATCTCTAATCTCTTTAAAAGAATCTTACACCCAGTAAGTGGTGTACCTATAGACATTTCAAAGAATTTCACCTGGACCTAATAATACATGAGATTCTAGTTTTTTTTTTTAATTTTGTTTTAAAAATATATCTCTGATGTAGTAAATAAATTAGTAAGTGTTCTTTAGCTGTCCCCAAAGCAATGATTACCTGTAGCAATTGCTGCAAAAATAACTAGAGGGGACAGTGGCCACACCTGCAGATCCACACCTTCCACAGTGACCCACTGGAGAAAGACCAGCCCAGCTGGCAGAAACGATGGAGAGGGACAGATGATGTGGAAATGCTCCATAAAGCTTACCAAGGATATGGTTAAGTTGGTCAAGGTAGTGTTTTCCCGGGAAGATGGGTCTGTTGGAGAGCATCTCTGCCAGAATGCAGCCCACTGACCAGATGTCAATAGACTTGGTGTAACCCTGCAAGTGAAGCAGAAATACATTTTTGTCAAATTTTTGCATAATAGCAGCAACATGTTACTTGAGCAAACTGAAAGTGCACACAAATCATCTTTTTCTTTTTCAGATGAGTCATGCTTGCTCATGCTGTTTGTTTCTTCTGTACAAATGAAATAATTAAGAGCCATATATCAAAACACTACCTTGAAGGGGTAGCAAAAACTGAAGTCTCCAAGACACAGTTTTCCAAAAGGATTCTTTAAGTTTAGCTAAATCTGTTACCAATTGCAAATTGTTGAGATTCCCTAATTTTATAACAAATTTAAACTAAAACATTTGGAAACCAGGTACTCTGAATTGCACAGCCCATGAACATAGTGCTGAACTCGTGTGAAAGCAGCTGTCCTTCCTGAGGGGATCTAAGCAGCATTCCAGAACAGGCCCTTTGGCAAAGGGGGAAATGGCCAAAACAATGGCTGTTGGTTGGCTGCTGTGTACAACACAACAGGCAGGAAGAGGTGAAGATGCTGGGAAGAGGCCACTGAGATACAGTGGGAATGGAACAATGGGATATCCATGGGTATGGATAACCTGTGCCACCCACAGGAAAAGGTGCAGCAGTGACACCCAGCAGTGACAGAGCCCCACTGTGTCCCCTGCTGCCACTGCCCCTCCCTTGGGAAGGCTCTGTCCCCACAGCCACCAGACACCAGCTCCTCAGGATGTCATCCCTTCACCACTTGTGTTCAAGGCGCCAGAATTATAAAAGGAATCACACAATAAGCCAGGAACTTTTAAGGTGACCACCTCTTACAACCACAATATATTTTCTTTGTGAAAGCCTTTGATAAGTAGATGTGGATAGCCTCAGTGCTGAGGGTTTAAAATACAAGATGCAAGTTCAAAATACAAGCAGCTGGGGAAAAAAACCCTCAATTGGTCAGATGTCTATTTTCTTAAAGTGCCTTGGACATGCTACTGCCATAACAAAACAAACCCACCAACTGGAAAAGCTGTAAATCCTACAGGAACAACAACCATCCCAGAATATAAAATACAGCTTCAGGTGTCACCCAGGTTTTTGCTAACAAGTGTCTGGCTGTGGGAGTGAACACAGGGGTTCTGAAGAACCACCACCATCCACACAGGGATTGGATGCACCTTAAAACAGCCACAGAACACAACAGTAATTCCAAATATATAAAAACTAAAGGAATGATTTAATGAAGACTATGGAAATGCAATTAAGACTGACACATAAAAAGGATCACATGCCTTCATTCAGAATCAGATTCACCCTCATTATACATTCTAAACCTAAATTAAGATGTCAAGATAACATCATGGCAACATTTGTAGCCTTGATGGAGGCAGCAGTGGAATGCTCATTCCTACCGCTCCTGTCCTGCTCAGTGGCACAGCAGGTGATGGAAGCAGCCTCATGACTGGCAGGGAACTGGAGGTGTGGGAAGTCAAGCACGTGATTACTCAGTTCTAGTACCCAATAACTGATTATGGAATCACAATTATTGCAAGCCAATAGCTCTACTGGAAACCCATGCCCACTCCTCCCCAAGACTGTGCGTGCATTCTGATCCTAAAACCACAGAAGGGGGAAGAATAGTTGGAAGGGAATAAGCAGCAACAGCAGCACCCCAGAAGCTCACTGTTGCCCCTACCTTAGAATTCAGCATGATTTCAGGAGCCCTGTACCAACGTGTGGCCACATACTCTGTCAGGAATCCTGTGTGATCATGATCGGGATCTGCAACGCGAGCCAATCCAAAGTCACAGATCTGGTTTTAGAGAAGTAAATAGAAAAAAGTGGCACATTAGACACATTCCCAAGCAGTGATGGCAACGTATGGTTTTAGAAACAAATTATTGCACAAAAGTGAAGAAAAATGTTTTGGATCAATTACAAAGAATAGTCAACTGCCATTCAGGGGCCAGTTCAAAATTTATGTTCCACTATGGGCTTCCTTATAGCATCTTTGCCAAACAAAGATACATTACTCCAACCTCTGAGAAACTCACCAGAAAACAAAAAGAAAAGCAATAAAGATTTCTAGAAAACATAATTAGCAACCAACACATTTGTAACCAAGTTCAACACCCTATTTTATAAAAGCTGCATCTTTGCATGAGAAACAACCTATCCAATCATGAGATAATGGTGGATTGGAGAGATTATGGGCTGTTAAAAGAAGCGTAAGCCTAAAAAAAAACCAACAACAACAAAAAAAACAAACAAAAAACCACAAAAAACAAACAAACAAACAAAAAACCCCAAAAGAACAAAACAAAAAAACAAAACACAAGCAAGAAAGTATTTCTCAACCCCGTATCAGGAAAACAGCTTTTTCTAACTATGAAAACAAAACCAAACACTGATTTAGACTAGAGAGTTCAGCAAAAAGAAAAAACGTTGTTTTAGTTATGCTCTGGTAAGGAGGCTCCATTGTTTTCAGAGCTATTTAGTGTCTAGAGAGAAATTTAAAAAATTGAAAATGTGAAGAAAGACTGTTATAGAGAGAGCAGCTGTTCCTTTCTTACCATCCCAAAGGTCAATGGCAAGGTTGCCTAATGCTGGCACATCAGACACATTCACAAGCTTCTGCTGCCCCCCCAAATATACCAGGTTATGATTGCCACACAAAGTGTATTTCCATGGAAGAATTCATACTCTCAGGAAAACCAAGCATCAAACGTAGGAGTGGCAAACAGTGGGAGGTTCCTCTGCTACATTTGTTTTATAATATTTACTCTTAGTTAATTGTGTACAGTGATTATATTGAAAACGTGAAGTGAAAATAGGCTGTAGTCAATAAAGTCAGTAATGGAAAATCCTACCAAAACCACAGAAACCTCACTTTGCCCTGGCAGATATTTCTTCATTTTCCTGTAGGGATAGGCTGTCAGAGAAATAACTGATAGATCAGTAAAGGAAGAAATACTTCAGCTGACTAAAAGCTACATCTGAAAGACAAGATTCAGCAGCTGACTGTTACAGAGGGTCTGAAGAAAATGTAATGATCAATGTCATAAGCCAAGCTGCCTGCCATCACTTAAAGCTACATATTAAAAAAATAAACCCAGCTCCCTGAATCCTTAGAAAACAACCCCAAAAGCACCTTTTTTAAGCATGGCAAGGTTCTCCCAGGCTACAAGAACAGAGCAGCTGCCTTGTGTGCAATTAGCAGCTTACATGAAGACTGAGTACAAATCAGAAGAGCCTCTTCTAAAGACAGAAAGCAAGAAACTGTAGAGAACAGCTTAAAGACTTCAGAAAATAATTATGCAGCAGGCGAAATTGTTGTAATCTCTTCCTCCTAACCACGGAAAAAGCTAGATAAGATTACAGGCAAGGAGACTTGTGCAGAATTTCAGTATTTCACAAAACAAAGCACTCTGGTTTGTTACTATTAAAACAAAAGAAGAAAGACACTCTGGTCCACAGTGAAAAGCAAGAACTGAATTACAGAAGATGTCTCTGAATCTCTCAACTCAAGTAGAAAAATGCTCATGGGACAGAAAGGAAGAATAATGACAAAGAGAGCTCATTAAAATGACAAAAAGCCCCTGCTGACTGGAGCAGAAACAGGTTAAGCAGAAAAGCAGAAACACCATTAGTGAGAAGGACTTTTGAAGCTGCAAGGAAAAGGTTTTGGCTGCAGAGCTGACAGGAGTGATAGCACAGAGTGAAAGGGAAGCTGGAGATCCAGGGCTCTGCCTGCAGCCCCAGGTGAGGATGGGCACAGCCCTGGCTGTAGCTGGGGAGGGCAGACACTTCTCAGACTGTGCCAACGGGACACAATGAGTGAGAGCAGCTGCCCTGCTGCAGGGGCTGCGGGGCCACTGCACCCATGCAAATGATGGGGAGCAGGCAAAGCACCAGGAGCTGGTTTTTAGGCTTCTCCATGTGAATAAAGACAATAACAAAAATAAAAGAAATAATTGGAGAGTAATACAATAATGGACACATTTTCTTGTCATTTTGACTAAGTCATAGCAAAGAATAAAAATCTGCATAATGAAAGATCCAGGTATGTCAGTCAGTGCTTCATGCCTTGGAGAGGCAGAACTGATGCTTCTGAGACAGATAATATTACTTTGCAGCTAAATAAATTTTTAAATATTAAATAAACAAACAAATAAATAAATAATTACAGCATGCTGTTTATATATTCAGCTTCCACTTTGTGAAAACAATGTTCTTACAATCAGTATCAGGGTTTTTTTAAACAGAGATGGCTTAAAATTGGATGAAGCTACAAGCAGATGGGAAGATTTAGGAGGATCATGTACATACGACCATTTACTAAGCAAATGAAATGACACCAACAGTACTACTAATATACTGAAATATCTGCAGTTGTATTGTTGAGTAGCCTGTGCCTCTGTGTATTTGTATAAAAGAAAACAGAGATATTAAGTTTAATTGTTACTGATAAGATGGTGGTTCAAACAGTTGCATCTCCAGAGTAATTGGTAAAATCCTGAAACAAACACTAACTTGCAGCTTTCCTTAAAAAAATCTCTCCCTCATCACCCTCTTTGCACACCTGTTGCAGTAGGTAACAATTCTTGGTCATTTTAATAATTGTGAGTTTCCATAATGCAGACAGAGTTGATCATGTAGTCAGTCTTTAGAATGGACCAGCACACAAACAGAAGGAATTGTGTGACACTCCTTGAATTGTGACAAACCTGTACAGTCCACAATCGGTTCACACTCTGAAGAGGGTATTTTTGTTTTGTGGTTTTTTTATTGAGAAAGTTTGAGCTACACTACAAAACAAAGAGTAATTAGGAGCAACACAGTATTCAACAAACACAGTTGTATCACTTCAGATCAAGCATTGTAACCGCTGCAACTCCACTCCATCAGTGGCCAGCAGCAAATACATCATGTACAGAGTAAAAGGGAACATATTCCAATCCCTCTTATCTTCTGTGGGTCTGCCACTGTGGGATTCCAAACCACAGGGAGCACTCAATAAGGGTTTATTTCTGCTAACTTGCTTGGTGGTTTCTTAAAAACTGCAGTATCTCCAGTTCTCTGTGATACCAAATTCCACAGCTTAACAGTGCTTCAAGTAAACTTCACCTGCTCCTTTCCTCCCCCCCAGCCTTTTCTGTAAGTAGGGACAGTTAACACAACTGCTCCCTATTCAGTGTCCCTATGCCACTGACAATGTTATCAATGTTATCAAATTCTATTGGATTCCTCTGTTCCTCCTGCAGTATCTTCCAGCAGAGGAGACTCAGGCTGAACAGCTCTTTGTGATATGGAGAGCGGTACTTTGAAATCCTGCTCTCCTCATATCACAAGGAGAAGTGTGATAACTATGATCACACTGAAGACTCAAAGCGAACTGAAAGGTACAGAATGGCATGTTTTCTGTTTTATTCTCTATTTCTGTTCTAATCCTTCACACTCGGTTTGCTTTACTAAATGCCACTAGGCATTGAGCTGACATTTTCCAAGAATCATAACAGCTCTAAGCTCATCCTTCTGTAGTATTAACAAGTACAGAGCCCATCACTGGAAATGCAAATTAGGAACATTCTCTCCCTAAGTAATTGCCGTGCATTTAATCAGCACTGAATCTCACGTGCCACTTTAGCTGCCCACTAATACAAAATCCTTTTCCAACAACAAAACATTAACAGTGTAAACAAAGAAACCAAATCTTGAAACATACACAGTTCCGAGTTTACTTTTAAGGTAAACATGATACTGCTTCAGATCAGTATTTTCACCCAGCTTTCAAAGAGGCTGTTTCCAAGTCAGCCTCCAGATGGAAACAGTGATGCACTCATTACAGCAGCCTAACAGATTCTTAGTCACTCAAATCTTGATAATTATTTTATCAAACCAAATAATGTTTTGGCAATCTTTCCAGGACAAAAAGCACATTAATACCCAGTAAAAACCCACACTCACAGTTATAGCAGTTCATTTATGAAGACCATGGCAGGCAAATCTGAAAGAAATTTCAACTCACCTTGAGATCACATGTGGTGTTAAGCAGCAAATTTGAAGGTTTGAGGTCACGGTGAAGCACATTGGCTGAATGGATATATTTTAACCCTCTCAGAATCTGGTAAAGGAAATAACAAATGTGGTCATTGCTGAGGTGTTGAGTCTTTAAGAGCTTGTAAAGATCTGTCTCCATAAGATCTTGCACAATATATCTGTGAGGCATTAGATGTAAGGCAGCAAAAAAACTTAAGTCAGATATCAACATACAGTACCCAAGGAAACTTCTAGAACATTTTTTCTCTCTTATTTTTCTGTTTGATGACAATTATGAAACCGTGTAGTTGATTCTTGCTTTAGAAGCTGGAATCCAATCAATCCTGTTACATGATGCAGCCCTTTATAGAATAACACCGCCTCTCAAATTAATCATCATAAACCTCTATTTCTTTACAGTAGAGCTTGACTTTTATTGGAATCCTAATTTCATCTGATTCTTATCCTGCTTGCCAAGAAACAAAGGGTAGTTTTTTGGTTAATGAGTAATAAGCTCCCAAGATACTTGTTTGCAGTTGCATAAAAGCAGGAATGTAGAAGATCTCATAATTTCTGATCTATTTTCTCTACCATCTCCCAACTTAAAAAATTCAGCTGTTCTTCTCTACTATATATATTTATTATGCTATATTGAATACAACAGTCTTTCTCTTACAAAAATTAAATCCCAATATACTCAGATGATTTTCTTTTAGTAAGATTGCAATGGAAATTAAAAGAAGGGATTTTTTTTTTTTTTTTGCTTTGACAGGAATGAGTTAAGTAAAATTTTCTTCCCCTTAATTCAAGAAAATTTGAGACAGTTATCGTAGAGTCTGGCCATTTTAGTTTCTCCTCAAAGCAACCAGTTCTAACAGAAGCTCTACTAAGAGCAAATATAGTTTTAGAATTATGTGACTAAACTAAATCTTCTCTCCAATGTTGTTATCTTTGCTTTGGAAGACAGAAATTAACATCTTTCTCTTTACCTGGAAAAAAAAGAATAAAACTAGTGCTCATCTACACCAAATCCATAAACTGATCAAATACTTTTAACTTCCCTTTTGATTTACAATAATAGAAGCCAACTTTTATTAATATTTAGGAAGGAAGAGGATGAAGGGGAAGAAACAATCAAAAGAGAGGAGGCAACCGCTACTAATGATGCCAAATAACACTTTGAAAGGATACACATCTTTCATCTGTTCAATAGTTGGAGCTCTGATAATGTCATTTATTCCAATAATATTCTCATGCCTGAAGCGCAGTAGGATCTTGATCTCTCTCAGAGTTCTCTGGCAGTATGTCTGATGCTCAAAAGGACTGATTTTCTTTATAGCAACTCGGACTTTGTTGACGTTATCATAAGCAGAACTAGAAGAGAATCAATCACATTGATTACAAGGAGCATTAAATTCATTCAATTAAGAAAGAAAGAATGTTAATTCAGTTGAATATAGGGGTGGTGCATTTTGTTTACATTTATTTCTATCAGATGGAGAGATGTGACAGTGACAAGTCTTTTAGTTTGGTGAACTGACAGAACACTGTTGTTCTTTCACCGGCCTATTTGGGTCTCTACAACCGTTAGATTTCCCAGCTGACTTAGAGTCAGTGGTACTGCACAAGGAAAAACTATTTCTCCTCTTTATGAGCCTGTGCAACAACCAAGTCTGAGGTTTCTTCTATACGCTGCAATCATCAGAAGTTTAAGAAAGTTCATCTTGAGTTAACCCATTCTCTTTGGGGTGCAGAAAAACCTTCAGAAATCATCTTTTAAGCAGCAGAATTCCACATCCTGTGTCCAGCTTCCACAAGTAATATCAGTCATCACAATCTTTCACACTTCCATCGATCTACAGAGTCAGCACCTCCGCAACAGACACGGAAGAACAAAAGGGATGGAAGAATTTGTGACAAAATCTTTCCAAGATCAATTCCAGCGATAACAAGAGTTTGAGGAAAGAAAGCTGTATCCAGGTACACACATGGAGTGGAAGCAGGCAGCAGCACAATGAGGATCACAGTGACTGTGACCCATGGTAAGGAGCTCACTGCCTCCTGCATTTACAGGACTCTTTCCAGGAGCTCAGAACTCCATTCCCAGCTACACCAATAAACAGGTTCAATAAATAGTATTTCTGATCAACATGCCTACTACATATTCATCAAGAATATCACAGCCTGAATCTAATTAAAAGTCTCAGTAAAACATACCTAATTTTCTAAAATCTGGACTATGAATTCTAACAAGTTTTAGTATGTCTTCTATGGTCTTGTTCATAGGAATGACAAAGCATCTCATTATCATAACTTCTACTGTATTAGAAGTAAATGGTAATTTAATTGATTAGAATTTATAATTCTATATGTTTATATGATTTTGTGTTTATATGTGTTTATATAATTCTTATCCCTACTCAAGCTCACTACTGCATTATTAGGAAATTAAAAAATAATCAAGCCTACATTCCATACATTTCTATTAGCCTCAACTATTTCATATAAAAAATATAACCATACTAGCCAAGGAGGCTTTACATCCCACAAATTTTCTATAACTGAGTCCCAGAAATTTCTTTGATACTCTTTTAATTTGCCTTACTCTGCTGACATGTCCAGGTACCTGGTGACCAGGTAATGCAGTATAAATACAAAAATCCAATTAGAAAATGAGACCTCAGAGGAATTCAACTGTCTGGCCATATCAAGGCTCTTCTACAACTAAGCAGAGATATAGTACAACAAGGTGCTTTTTAGATGGTACTGTCACCACTGAATGCACAACTGTTTAAAATTTCTCTTTCATTATTAAAATGGACATATAATTCAGTCAATTAGGGTCATCAGTAAGATCTCCATACAGCACATGGAGATATAACAACATCATTTTTGCACGGTTTTCTCACACAATCCCTTTGACCTGCCTGCATCCCCAACCCTCGCCTGTACCCACAGACAGCACCATTTATTTGCCTCTAGAAACACAGAACTCAAATGCTCCACGGGGAGCTTTGAAATGCCACATGCTGAGCAAGTATTCATTACAACTATTGCTACTGCGTATGTATAGATAACACACTAGCAGTTCCTCAGTCCTAAAATAGATAACAACCGAGTGCAGTATGCGGAACCTGGCATTGCCTCCAAAAGCACTTGGGCTCCAGTAATTTCTTAGCTCATCACCTGTGGTGTTTACAATAGACCACTGAGGTCGGTCACAAGCAGAAAACAAAGCCAGAAATAACTCTGAAGCACGAATAACTTGGATTTGGGAAAGAAATTAAAGAATCCTATGGCCACTTCATCATTATAAACAAACCTCCTGCCTCCTCCTTTGTACTGACCTGAGCATTTTTTCTGCCACAATGCAGAATCTTATGTCCTTTCAAAGGACTGGACAGCAGCAGCTATGTAGAGTACAAAAAGGCAAAATGCAATATTTACCACTAATGGTGCTTAAATAAAAAGCTCCCAGTGTCTTACAATATTTGATAAATCAGTTATTGCTTCTCAAGCAAAGGTTGCTTATTGGTAGAAAATACGTTATCATTCCTTGTACAGAAATGAACATGAATTCATCAATTAAATATACCAAGATTTCCTCTCTTGTAGCTGTTTCACCTACAGTCCTTCAAGCATTTTCTTAGCAAAAGGTTTATGCTGTTATTTAGAAAAGGATGGCTAATTTTGCTTTCTGATGGTTCAGCTATAACACACATGATTCACTGAGGAAAAAAGCAGCCTATTTGGAATAATGATGCAATCAGCTTCCTCTCCAGGGTACCTTCCCCATACAGTCATCTTTCTGTTTGTATCAGATTTCCCCACACTAACACAGCTAACCTTCTACTGCCTCAGCTGAGGGGAGCAAAACTGAAGTATTGTATAGTTGAAATACTAAAAGGGACACCAGATTTATTTCTGATGTCACACTTTTTGAAAGATGAGCCTTTCTGTAACTTGATTAAACATCCGAGAGATTATCTCAACTTCTATGAGCAAGAAACTAATCATGCAAGCAGTAAGGTACACTTGCTGGTGCATAATACTTTAAATGTCATGCATAATACAGGTACATTGAGAATCTGTATTATCTAGTTAACATCATTTCACATTCTCAGCCACAGCCCTTAAAGCACATATTGCTTTAAGTAAACTCTGTGACCCTTTAAAAATGCCTTCTCGATTTGACACGCGCTATAGAAAAGTGTAAAAGCTGCACATTAGACTGAGCTTTAGTGGAACTGAACCAGACCCCTATTTGGCCTATGAAGCCCTATTGAAATAACTGATTGACTATGCAGGAAACACCATAAACTCACAAAACCGGGTCCTTTGTAAGGCAGACCGAACCGTTTCCCAAGCTTTCCCTCCATCCAACCATTCATTGCCTGCCACCAGCACCAAATTTACACATTCCTCCCCAGAGCTCTGCTGAAGAAATATGCTGTTCATAGTGTGCACTGCAGTATTTGCAAACAAAACCACTCTGAAGGTGCAAATGCAGGCCCTGGTGCATTCCCGCTGCAGCCCATGCACCGGCTCATCCTTGCGGGTTCCAGCCGCAGCCGCAATTACTGATCTCATTTTACGACTCCTGATCACCCGTGCTCCCCCTGCAGTCCGACCAGGATCAGCTCCACAGCACATCCCATCTGCCTCGCAGCGCATCCTAAATTTAGATTATTTGCATTCTGGCAGTGCTGTCACAGTGTGCAGTGTAACCTATTTGTCTGGGCTGTCAGCTTCTAGTAAACCTCACAACAACTGGCTACATTTGCAATAAAGCAGTTAACTGGGACATCTTCTGAAGCCAGGAACTTTCTATTATCTTGACTTTTTTCCACAGAAGATAAAAATCTGTGAAGTGGGAATAACAGTTCCCATATTAACAACTCTTAGAGTGCCAGTTTATAGCTTTTAGTTTCTAATAGTTAGGCACATGTACTGATCATCACCCACAGAACTGTCCCATTATGATGAATCTAGTCACCAACACTTCAAATATTGAGAAGGATTTACTTCCACCCCAATCATGTGAAGCCTTGCAAGCTGAAGCAACCATTCAGCAGTGAGTGCTATTTATCTGTAATGTGATAAATTTAAATATAGATTTTGCAACTGCCCAACTGTTGTAGCCACAACATTATTCCTATTTCAAGCTGTGGTTACTAACCTGTGACAACCTGCAACAGCATCGTTATTTAGATACTTCTGCAACATCGTGTGATAATCAATACAAGCCCGAGCAGTAAAGTTTATCATTCCCGACTTTAAGTATCTTGTAATAGCTACCTTATAGACTTGTAAATGCCTAACAAAGTTTTGACCAAGTAAAACATCAGGCACAGCTGATGATCAGGCACAAAATAAACAAATGAGCATTTAAAATCGAAGAAACTGCACCAAGTTATAGTTTTATAATTTTTAAAGCCAGTTTTTATCCTACTCTGGTACCAACTTTCTTTTTAAACAGAAGCCCAGGGTGGGGCTGCTTCCAAGAGCAGTGCCCAGGAAGGCAGCTCTGAGCCCCTCTGCCATCACCTCTGCAAGGCGAGGGAACCTTTCACCGGGCACGCGTGGCCGAGTGCCAGAGCTCAGCCCCTTCTGCCCACAATGCCTGCTGCATGTTCTTCCACCCATTCCTACTCCTCGCATGCTTCATTTGGGGCAGAACTGGAACAAGTGAGAGCACGCTGCAGCTGCCGGCAGGAAAGGAGCCAGCTCCTGGCAGTCCCTGCATCCCACAGAGGGCTGGTCCTTCACACTGAAAAACAACTGCCTGCTCCTCTGCCACGCTGCCTGCAGGCTTCCCCCTCCACGGGATGTTCTTCCAACACTTGGAGGATTATTCGCCTCGTGGCTGTTTTACAGACTGCTCTCAGCACACACACACAAAATACACAACGCTACTGGCAAACATCTTAATTACAACTCTAAATAAAAGACTGGTTTGAAGTTTAAAAGGGATTTTATTTTTTTTTTTATCACTAGCTTTGTGTTGCTGTGGAAACAGGATTCCAAGGGTATATCCAGAGATAAGAATCTTTCTGAGATATTGGATAATTCTGCTTACACTCAGAATAGGAAAGGCAAAAATAATTCCCAGCAAGCAAGCTGATCTATGGATTTAATCTTTTCATTCAGTCTACATTTAGCTCAATCATGGATATTTCCACAACACGCTGACATTTATCAAGTTACAATGCAAATAGCTTAAACTTATTTTTAAGACTGCTGTAAATAAAATAATGCAATATTATGACACAGTAACAACCACCCTAACAGACTGTTCACTACAACTTTTGGGGGTGGGGGAAGATGGTTGCAGAAATGCAGATCTGCAGAGGGTTTTGGGATTTTTTGTTTGGGGCTTTCTTTTTAATAATCAG